GCGGTCCGTCTGGATTGTTTCCACTTCCCCACCCACCTCGCTCTGGAGCTGGAGAGGTTCACACAGGCTTTTGGGCCTTCGTTTGGGCGCCCTTGCCTCCATTTGGGTCCGGTGCGCAGTCTTGAGAACTGGAACAGAAGAACCCAGCCGGCGTGGACTTTGGCTTTGGTGCTGCTGCTGCTTCTCGTGCTCGGTGGGGACAAAGCGGCTCGGTGTGCAGCGGATCCCGGGCTGGTGGCCTGGCCCCCCCTGGCCTCCTGGCCCCTGCTGCATCATCCCACTGTCTGTTCAGGACCACTAAATGCTGAAATATGGATGTATACGAAATAAAGGCAATTCATGGTGTTATAAAGGGTTTTTTTTTTTTTCTTTAGTATTTTGTGTAAAACCATCTTTTGAAGCAGTTAACTATCAAGTCTGAAAAGCAAAAATGTTTCCATTAGTCTTTTTCTGGGGAAAACCTTAGCTTAAAGGATTTAACATCCTCTATAAAGTTTCACTTAACAGTATTCCATAAGTAGCCTTTTTATTGTCCGACCATGCCTGATTTTAATATAATAAAAGAAAAGTGTGCATTAATATTTAACAAGCTGTGCCCTTCTTCCTCTCGGCATGTTAGTTAGGGGAAGAGTGTACTATTTCAGGTGCAGGACCAGCCATTTGTGGAAGAATAGTTAGGATTTTCAGACCAACAGGCAGAATCCGTACTCCTACACCAGTGCTTCTCTAATGAGAACCACCAGAGTTTATACTGGTAAAATTCAGAATACAGGCCAGTATTTTGTGAAGTTTTTTGGTGCCCCCAGGGCCACCCATCTGTGTCCCCAGCCTTTTTCAGACATTGGGCTAGCTGGGATGCAAGCGGGTCCTGCCCCACCGCCAGGGGTCCTGGGGTGACAGGCATGTGCCAGCACCACAGTTTTTTTATAGGAGTAACATTTTGCTTGGGTGGGATGTGGCTCAGCAGTGCAGCCCCCGCCTGGGAAATCGCAAGACCCCAAGTTCCATTTCCGGTTCCAAAAAAAATAGTAAAAGATTTGCTTGATGGGCTCAGAATAATGTTCCCTGCCACCAGGTCGACTGCACTGACCATTTTTTCTCCATGTAGAAATAACAGGGTGGGAGGGCCCAAGGTGACATGGATACAGAAAGCGCACACCCACCCCCAGCTGGTAAGCAGGAAAGCAGCCGAGGCAGCCCTGGTGTCACCTCCAACAGCTTCCTTTCCTTGGGGCAGCCCAGGCCCCTTTGGAAGGAGATGCCACTGGCTATCGCCCTGCTCGGATGTGCTGTGGCATGATTGGCGTGAGACCTGCTGTCTCTGCTCTACCCTTTCTGCAGATCCTTGTGCAGCCTCCTGCCCTTTCCCTTAGGAGAGGGAGGGGATAGCCCTGTCGTTCCTGGCCTGTGTCCCTGGTCCTGGTCCAGTTCAGATCTCCAGAGGAAGTTCCAGGCTCCACCTCAGGGACCTGTCCTTCCTCAAGGAAATTGAGATGAAGCTGCTCTCCCAAGTGTGGAAGAAAAGATGCCGGGTAGACTGCAGGGCAGCCCTTGAGGAGTGGCCTGGATGAGGGGAGGCCCTCCACCGAGCCAACTCCTTGCTGCTGTTGTCCTTTCCCCAAGAAGGCACCACGACGATGACAGGTGAGCGTGAGCCAACCCTCAGGCCTAGAGACACAGCTCAGCAGTACCCATCCATCATGGAGGCAGAGTTTTAAGTGCCAGACCTCTGCAGAACAAAGCAAGCACAGCGTTGGGCCACGACCAGCTCACAAGCACTGTGGCCTCTACACATGGCACTCAGCAACTGGCCAGTCCCTCAAGGGCTCCTATGTCCTGTGACCTCTCGGAGCCCGAGGTCTATAGGCGCTGTGGTTCTGCAGACCTCCACCTGGTGTGGCAGGTGCTGTAAACGCCAGTCACGAGGCACAATGCATGGTAAGAAACTGCAAAGAAATAGAAGAGTATCCATTTTTGGAAGGCAGGTTTGTCACTTGCCACAGAGAGCCACAGCCACACAGCCAGGGTAGGACATAACCACACCCAAAGCCCTGGTAGTAAGGTGGGTCTGCCCCTTACACTAAGACAAGTGAGAGCGGGAAACCTGCTGTGGTTCTCTTAGTGAAAAGACTATGTAGACTGGTGTACGTGAATCCCAGCAGTCTAGGAGACTGAGGCTGGAAGATGGAAAATTCAAGCCCACCTTGGCCACTTAGGGACTTAGCAAGACATTGCTCTGAGTTTAAGGGGCCAAAAAAAAAAAAAAAAAAAAAGGCTGGTGCTGGGCGTGGTGTCAGACACCTGCAATCCCAGCACCCAGGAGATTGAGACAGGAGGCTTGCCACCAATTCAAGTCCAGCGTGAACCAACTACATAGGGAGACCCTATATCCAAAACAAAAAGGCAGGCCTGGGAATGTAGCTCAGCACAGGGGCCCCGGGCGGCATCCCCAGTGCTTCAGAAGGCACTCAGTGCCATGACCATGGGCTGGCCCCGCCTTCTCTCCCAGCTCCTTTTCTCGAGTGGGCCATGGCCTCCCCGAGGGCTCCCCCTTAGGGATCCCCAAAGTATGCGTTTGGTGCATGTGCCCCTGGGCCTGTGGGGATAGTCAGGACGCTGGGGGCTGCTCGCTCCTTACAGAACACTGGCACTGAAATTTTGACAAATTCAAGTCCCCAGGTACAGCTCAGAGGTAGAGCAGTGCCTGGTACGACAAGGCTCTGGGCGCCGTTTCTAGTGCAGAAAAAATAAAAGTAAAATAAATTTTTAAATTTACATTTTCAAGTTCACAAACAGATCAGACAGGGCGCTCTCTCCGATCCCCCGGACATGCTGCGCCTGCCTGTGGGGGTGGACGGGGCTTCCCCTCCTGGGATCACGGATAGTGGGCGAGTGGCGAATGCCCACCCTCTGACACTGCCACTTTGTGCACAGACAGCAGCAGGGCTGGTGACAGGTGGAGGCCTCACCTGGCCATGGTGGGTGGCCCTGCAGTACTGGCATGGCGATACCTGTGTGCAGGTCAGATCAAGGGGACATTTTCAGTCCCACCCTTAGGCTAGAAAAGAGCTGGGTGTGGCAGGGTGTGTCTGGGGCTCCGAACTCTAAGAGGCTGAGGTAGGACTGCAAGTGCCGGCTCAGTCTGGACAATAGCAATCGTCTCAAAATTGAACATAAAAAGGAGCTGGGGAGCTGGGGATGTGGCTCTCTGCACAAGCATATGTTCTACCCCTAGCACTGCACACCACTCCCCCAAAGAGGCTATAAAGTGGCCACTGCTGGTTGAGTCCCGAAGGTGCCAAAATTGAGACCTGTGGCTGGTGGATCCACGTGGCCTCCACATGCCCTGCCAGGTGCTCAGGCACACGTGTCCCTCCTGATCAGAGTCCTTTGGCTGTACGGATGAGGTAATAAAGTCACCTTCCAAGTCCAGTGGTCAGGCAGGCACACTTGTCATCCCAGGTACTCCAGAGGCTGAGGCAGGAAGATGGAGCGTTCAAGGCCAGCCAAGGCTATTTAGCAAGACCTTGTCTCAGAAATTCAAGGAGAGGGGCTGGGAAGATGGCTCAGTGGAATACGCACTTCCCTGGCAAGCGCAAGTGTCTGAGTTCAATCCCCGGTTCAAAAAAAGAAAAAAAGAAATTCAAGGAGAGCCAGGCATGGTGGTGCACACCTGTAATCCAGCACTGGGGAGGCTGAAGCAGGAGGATGGCTGTCAGTTCAAGGCCAGCCAGTGCTACATAGCAAGACTCTGTCTCAGAAACAGACAAAACCTCAAGGAGGGGGGGTATAGGAGAGGAGGTATAGGAGAGGGGTATAGGAGAGGGATATAGGAGAGGGGGTATAGGAGAGGGGTATAGGAGAGGGGGTATAGGAGAGG